GTCACAGATAAGGTAAACAACAAGATTCTTCCTAACAGAGTCCAGTGACAACCTGAATTCTCACTAATCTGCCTTCTTTCAAGGCTGGCCTCCCACTCTGGTACTATTGGGCAGACAGTTACATCCTGTAAATGAGGTCTTTGCAATCTTTAAGGAACTGTATGCCCTCCAAAATATAGATGAAATCAGCAGCTGTGTCCTATAAACAAGGTTCATGATGCTCTGTTCTCACAAGATTCACAGGGAACAAAAGTGTCACTATATAAGATGGGACTAACTTGCTTTTTGTTTGCTCCTTGTCACCTCACAGTCCACCCCAGTTTCATGTCATTGGAAAGACCACCTGCTTTGATCAAATATACAAAAGCTGAAATTTCTTTGTTCAAAACTCCTCCCTTGGACAGGAGTCCATTGATCATGCCTTATGAGATCCTGATCTCCCTCCTGGTGTGTACATGCAGGATTGGTGGGATGTGTTTTGGGACCGCTTGGGCTGCTACAGTGTATATTGGATTATTCGGGATCTGTTATTTGAGTTCATCAATGTAATGTTCAACTGCTTACCACATATGTTTCCTTTCATCAGGTGTAGAGGTAGAGGAAATAATATATTTCTTGCCACGTGAGGCTGAAATTGTGGATTATGCAGAGGATTATGCAGAGGAACTCCTTCCTACACCTAGAGGGGTTTTCAGAAGGATCCTAGGTGCTGTTCAATGTGGACTGAATCATCTGTGGAAGAAAGAATATTAGCATGGACTCTTCCCTTGACTCTTATCACCTGGTGAAGTGGAGAATGGCAAATGTGGTACGAGGGGGAAAGTGTTGACTTCCCTCTATAGCAAGTGGAGGGATAGGTTCAAGAAGGGCAAATGGGGGAGTTTGGTGCGGCATGGCAAGAGCTCACCTACCAGATCAGATTAAGAATCTAAGAGGTTAGGTGTAGATTTTTCCTCCAAGAGGAGGGTCTGATGGTTGACAGAGAGATGGAAATGAGAAGATGGTAAAAAAACCCTGAATATCAGAACCTCTTGCTACTTGCCACTTTTCTGCAGGAAAATGGCCTCCTCTGTTGGCTGGAGGTTGTGGGGAAAGAAAAACAAAAGGAGAAAAATGGAGGGAGGAGGAAGGGGCTCCACTAGGAGATACCTCTTAACTTCTGGTGTAATCTCCCAACTAAGTCCCAGCAGACTGCCTTCTCCTGTATGATGTTAGAAGCCTGCTGTATGAGGTTGGCATAAGGCCAGAGCAGGAGTGGAAAGAGGGGAAGGAGAAGGAAGAGACCCAGATATGTGGCCTTGCACAGGCATAGGTTTTCTTCCCATCAGGCAGTTCTCAGAGGGTGCCAGATATTCAGTTATTGTCCTTAGACTCTGTGTCAGGTGGGTGCAAAAGGTAGGTGAGGGAAGGAAGAAAAGGAAGTGGGGAATACTGAGGTGGTCCCCATGACCTCTCCCTGGTTTTTGGCACCAAATATTAGATTCTGGGAACAGGAGGTTAGTGTCTTTGTCATATTTCTGAAGTTGTTCATGAGGTTGCTGTGGGTATCATTTCAACCACTCAATTCTTTTTTTTTTTTTCTTTTTCTGGTACTGGGATCTTACCAGGCAGGCGGGTGCCACTGAGATATATCCCTGGCATCTGAGCCAACTGACAGAGATGTAAAGGAAGACAGTTTCAATCAGAAGAACAAGAACGAGCCCAAGAGCAGTGATGAAGAATATCAGGAACCTCAGGAGCAGGTGAAGTTAGTTATTCTCTAACTGGTTAGCCTTAGGATAACTGAGGGGCTACCTGGCATGGGCTGCCACTTCAGGGCTCTCTGCTACATTCACCAGATGTCTAAATTCTGGGGCAGGCAGTTACCAGAGATTAGTCTCCAGATTCTGTTCTCACTGCTTCCAATCATTTCATTCCCTCAGTGGAGAAGAGATTCTATTTTAAAAATTAAGTCAATGTCTAGTAAAAAATAATCAAGTGCTCCCTTTCTATATCATTTTGCATTACTAAAGACACAATTGAAATTGGGCATAATTTATATAACAATAATCTTTGTTAGAGGACAAGCTGGCCTTTTCAAAATCATACTGTGATTTAAGATTCCCACCACAAAACAACGCATTTGACATTGAATCTCCATTCTAGAAATCATGAGGCAATTTGTTGTGTGATAAAATAACCAAGAAGGACAACTAATAAATAAATAAATGAAATTTTTGTCAAAGAAGCCTATGGTGAGAAGTTATGCTGAGGAAGACTGGAGAGTCTCTCTGAAGAAGGTAGATTGTGAGGCATTACAGTTACTCTTCTGAAAAATCCCAGCTGGGTCAAAGTCAGTGTTAAGCTAAAGGATTCTTCTTATCTGTGAATGTTGCTACTATGTACATTAAACTATCACTCAATAACTTTTTGTTTTTAGATTCTGGTTTGAAGAACTAACAGTTGAACAAAGTGCAAGATGCAAGACACAGTAATCAGAAAACGTAGTGTTTTTCTGTATGTCCACAGGGCCTTGGTCTTAGGGTGGGATGGAGTGGGATTTTATTAGGTTTATCCCTGCAACTTAGGTCCCTGTATGATCTCTGATAACTTCTACACATTTCTATCATCACTGTATATGTGCTTTGTTTTAAGGTACATGTATGATCTTTCTCTCTTTTCCCAAAGGAGTTGCTAATCTCTTTAAAAACAGAATTACCAGGAACAGGGATTTAGCTCAGAGGTTCCACCACCTGCCTCGCAAGCCCAAGGACCCGAGTTTGATCCCCTGTTCCAAAAAAAAAAAGGAAAAAAAATTCCCAGAATTACCTTATGAAAAAAGCTGAGACATTCCAATAAAATTTGTTATATATTTCATTGTATACTATTTTATGATGCTTAACAGTCTGTGGTGAGTGATACTGTCTTACTTCCTTGCAGAAACACTTCATGGAGGCCAGAAGGTAGCAAAGCAGCAAGATACACTAACAGAGTCATTCTTTTATCCCATGCAGACGACCAGGATTAGGGCAGTGCCAAAACAATCACTCATATAGTGGTTTAGTGATCACACGCCCTTAATCCCAGCATCACACCCTCCAGATTCACCTCTGAAAATGAAAGCCCTACCTCATCCACATGAGGCACTGGGGGGACATCAAAAACAAAGGTTAACCGATACTTACTTACTAAGATAATTACTTTTGAAATTCAAAGAGGTCATCTTGTATTGTTAGTGGGTTTTAAAAACGGAACATCCCTAAGTTTGATCAGAATTCAGCTCAGTCTCTATGGAGTTTAAGGATAAGATTCACCCAGAGAAGCTCTCTGAGCCCAGGGCACCTGAAACAATCCAAAGCTCTGGAGCTGGGTCTCCTTCTGACAACAATGTTAAACCAGTTAATCCTCCGAGACTCTTCATTTGATCAAAAATAGTGCTCTCTGTGCCTTTTAGGATAGCCAAGTTCCTGCAGACCACCACATGTTTGGGTGGTAGTTTCCTGCCCCTCGCCTCTGGAGCAAATTTCACTGCAAAGTTAGTTCTCATTTTTGTTTTTTTTTTCTCTTATTGAATTTATTGGTACATTTTAGGTATACAGTACAGTTACATTCATCACTGGGATCTTGTACCTTTACATGACAGGTCTTGGTTCTCATTTTTCCCCTTACCCCTGCCCTCCCTTCACCCCCTCTTCTCCTCCCCATTTACAAATACTTTATTTCCTTTTTTCATTTTCTCATATTTTTTCTTTTCCCTTATTACCTTCCCCCTACCCTCCTCACTTTCCCAACACCTTTAGACTTTTTCTTCCTATTTCACATTGTCAATTATATTATTAGGATCTTATGTACTATTATAGTTTTTCATACCAGACAAACTATTCAGTATTTACACATGTGTGACTTATTTATTTCACTTAGGAGTCTATCCTCAAATTGTATCCATTTTCCTATGAATGAATCTAATTTCTCATTCTTTATGGCTGAGTAGTATTCCATTTTACAGAAAAACCACATCTTCTTTATCCAGCCTCCAACTGATGGGCAAATGGGCTGTTTCCAAGTTTTAGCTATTACAAACTGTGCTGTTATAAACATAGGTGTGCCTATATAGTTCTCATTTTTGCTGAGAATTGATGGAAAGTGTTTTTCTTATGTCTCCATTCTGAAAATAATATAACAGATGACTATACTTTGTAGACATGGAAGCACAGACACCTGACTTCTCTAAGGCTTTTTTTTTTTAACAGTACACAGACGCCACAGTCAGCAGCATGGAGTACAGATGTACACCAGGACTCATCTCACCTAGCTCTGCCCACCGGGATCAGAACACACAGATGCTTGGACTGCGAAAGCCTGTGCTGCTCTGCGTGTCTGCTGACTACTGGGTTCACACTGCTATAAGAGATCAATGGCACTGAATCTGTTAGGAGAGATCAGGTAGCAAACAGGGATAGGCTCTAAAATTTCTTGGTGACAAGTTGGATTTACAGCATAGTGTGAAACCTGTGTCTCCAGTGCTAAATGTGGGATTATAAGAACCTACATTTTCAGGCCAATTGAGCATAAAATGAACATGTCCAATGCCTGGGCACTGCTTAGCAGAGTAATTGGATCCAGTAACAGGAATCCAAGTTGTAATAATCTAAATTGCATTCAGAAGACTTCTCTGGCTTGGATTGTTTCTAGATTTTTCATATAATTTAGAGTCATGCAAGGTCTGGGTATTTAGTTCAGTGGTTCCACTGCCTGCCTTGCAAGCATGAGGACCAGAGTTCAATCCCCAGTACCAAAAAAAAAGAAAGAAAGAAAGAAAGCAAAACCAAACAAAAAAAATTTAGTCATGCAGAATGAGTTTGTCTGCCAAGCTTGAGAAGTCCTAGGCTTTACAACTGTGGGGAATAGATAAAAAATTATCAGTGCTTTTCAATGAAATATAAAAATGTTCAAGTAAAGATCACATTGGAAAGAAGAAATGTGAAGGTAGGGCCAGGGATTTAGCTCAGTGGTGACACTGCCTGCTATGCAAGTGCAAGGTCCTGAGTTCGATCTCCAGTACTAAAAAAGAAAAGAAAAGAAAGGTGAAGGGAACCACCTTTCCCGAAGAGGCTGGGCTGTGTCAGTGGCTAAGGCCAAGAGTGCATCATGAGGTTGCTGCAGAGGCTCAGCTCTGTGCGAGACAAACCATCTCAGCCCTCCACCCAGCCCCTTTCTGGTACGGAATTTGCTTTCTTTTGCTGAAATAGCCTCACAATTGATTTTGCACCTGGGAAGTCTACCTTCACCTATGTACAAAATACATACAAATGACACTGAAATGAAGCTCAGAAGTACGCGTGAATGATGCACGATGGTGCTGCCACTTTTTCTGGACAGGGCGAGCTGTTGCCTGGCTCTTCATCAGCCACCAGCCTTTCAGGGGTTGTGTTGGGCTTGTTCAGTTAGCTGCGTCAGGCTCTGGGCTGGAACATTCCTCTCGGCAGCAGGTCTCTGTGCTGCGGGGCCCAGAAACACCTGCTATTCCATTTTCCTGGAAGAAAGGGAATAGTCTACATGCAAGGAAACCTCCCTGTACCATCTTTCCACCTGGTCTATTTATGCCTCTTCATTTCTTTGATCTCCTATGAGTGTTTGCCTAAGTGTTGTTTCATCCAGGACAAGTCTAACACATCCTGTGATGCTGTCTGTGTCCAGAAAAGCATCTACAAAGCATCCTCAAGGTCTTTTCACCAGAAGACTGAATTTTCAAAGAGATACTCAAGGATCAACGTTTGACACTTCCTGACCATGCCTACTCCCGAGAGTGGTTTAAATATGTCAATTCCATCACTTGACCTCTTTGTAGAAATGGTCCCTTTTCGACCACCAGGGCCTTTCACTGGGACAATTTCTATATATGTTAATTCCTTAATTCCTTTACATCCAATAGATGGAGCAGCAAGTCTGTGGCAGATGTAAAATGCAGAATAGGCAAGAGGAAAAAAAAAAGAAAGACATTGGTACTGTAGGGAAAAACACAGGTAACACCAGAGATATCTAGACAAAAATCACTGGTAAGCATCTGACAGACTGTGTTTTGTTTTTGAATTTGATATGTCTTTTATTCTTTTCCCATGTTGACAACTGGGTCATTTCAAACCGGTATAAATAATAAAGTAATGAGTATGCTTGCTTACACTTTTCACTGCATATATTTGCTCAGGATACCTCTTCAGAAGTGGTACTACTGAGCCCAAGGGTCTACAGTATAGAATTATAGGGACTTGGGGAAATTATGTCCAATTGTTTGGCTAAGATTTCAACCAATACACACTGCCAGGGCTATGTGTAAGAACAGGAAGGTTCATTCCAATCAGGTAAGCAAGAATCAGCTACAGGGCAGAGAAGTAAACTGTTCCCTCAACTAGTGACAGAGATAATGAGGAAAGACACAGAAAGCAGCTGGAGGGAGTCAGCCAGGCTCCAGAGACACTTACAAAAAGATGCTGGGAAAAGGCAGCTGGAGGATAATTCCTAGATAGTAGCAGAAATCATAAAGGTTCTACCTGAGCCAAACAAGAGGAAAACATCTCTGTGAGAGTGTGAACTTGACCTGGATCTGCAGGAGGGCCCGGCCCCCAGGCTGCTGAAAGACGGATGGGGTGGTGCCATAAGAGGAAAGAGGAGTCACAGAAGGGGATCCTGAAGGGGGATTTCAGGCTGAGATTACAAACACAATGAAAGCACTGGACGAGAGAGGCACTGGAGCAACAGAGACATGAGAACTGTCTCAGAAACAAGGGCTCGGTGGCTGCTTCTGTGGAAAAGTGGAGCTTTGTCTCACCTGTAAGATCACCCACAGTGGATGTGGTGCGAAGTTACCCTGGGAAGGAGAAGCATGAGGAAAGGGCTGCAACCCTGACAGATGGGTGCAGGATCTCCCCTTGACGCTCTTGCCCTCCATATTTTCTCACCCTGGCAGTCTCAAGTTGCAGCCAATGCACTGTCCCCTCTCTCCCCTAAATCCTTCTTCTACTACATGCACTCTGGCTCCTCTGCTGCAAACCCACAGACCCCACACTCAGTGGAGCTCAGCAGTAAATTCCATGCACTTAAGGCGATCGGACTTGGGGTTTTCTATCATGTGAAACATTTCAGTGTATTCTGAACTGTCTGTGAGGATGCCCAACACATGAGTGCCATCATCCTTGCTGGATTAGGGCAAATAACCCATGTTCCTCAGCACAGGTAGAAAGAGAGGTCTACTGAAACCTCACTGACTCCACGTACTGACTGCACTTGATCACCCCACACAACAGCTGCATCACCTGAGCATTCTTGATTAAATTGTACCCTCTCCCACATGCCTATATCACAGGAAGCTAAGTTATGTGGGAGTAAATATACAGTCTGAGAGGTACGGGGCTCTCAAGGAAGTCAGCAGAAAAATAGAGACATCAAAATTGTGGATGTAGAAACCTCCGAAAAAGGTCAGGCCTCAAGACAGAAATGCAATAGCCAGGCTCGAATACCTCCCTAATGCATAAACAGTAAAATGGAATTACTCTGTAATTAGCACCTCCTGGTCCACTGAGTCCAGTTGGGCATCAGATGCCCAGGTGGGTGACCGGAGCAACTGGACCCATCCTTTCCCAAACATGCCTCTGTTCCTTCTATATATTCTTGTTATGTAACTCATTTCCATAGTAGATAAATATTAGCTAAGCAACTATATTTGTAACCCTATAGGTGGATTACAGTTTGACCCATGATTTACCCACGTTGTGACTTTGCTGTATAAATTACAGCTGACAGCAAAGAGCCTCAAAGGCACCTACCCGAGACCCCTCCTATTTCTCAATAAACCTTTCCTATTCTTAAGCGCCGCTGTTGTTTGAAATTTATTCCTTAATTTTGGAGCATACAAATTCAGGACATCTAAACATCTAGCAGGTTGGGAGTTCTATTTCTCCAATATCACCTACAGCCTTTGTTGTTTCCCCTTGAGGCCAAGACTATCTGTGTAGACCAGGTTGGCCTGGAGCACATAATCCCACTTCCTCAGCCTTCCAAGTGGTGAGATCATAGCTGTGTGCCCCCATGGCTGTGTCCCTACTGTTTCCTCATCAAGCTTTCACATCAGAAGGCATCTGTCTCCATGGTTAGTCCTGGTCTCCTGCCCACTCCCAGCCTGCCAGCATGAGGTGCCCTTCTAAGCCCTCTCATATTATTTGTAAACTCTTCTGCTGCAAGTACACCCTGGCCTCTGCCAGTCTCTTGATTTGTATCTCCTCAAAGAGGATATGAATTCCCTGAGCACAGAGATCATTTTAGACTCCACAATGAAAGAGGAAAGTGACCCACATGTCATTGATGCTCCTGCCAACAAAAGAAGTGCTCTTTAACCTAAATGGTATGCATATAGCACACTTTAGAGGAAAGTGAATAAACCCTATAGACTCTTGCCCCTCTTTCCTCTCTTTTCTGTCTTCCATAATCACTTGGTTCTGACACTGCCATGGCAATTACTAGTTACAGACCACAGACTTGTGTTTTCTCTTGGCCACAGAGACTCTGACTATGAAGGATTTCTCACATCACCTCATCACGACTGAGATTGAGAGCTTGTATTTCAGGTGAGCAGCTACCAGGGTAGGGCACTGCACAGTGGAAAAGTGTGTGTGTGTGTGTGTGTGTGTGTGCGTGTGCACTCGCGCGCACATGAGCGCACACACATACTCTTCTTTTATTACTTAAGTACATGACTCTTCTTCTCCCCAGTGTCTTTTCTTCATTTTCTTCTGAAGCTTCAGGACTGGACAAAGGGCGAAGACACAGCCCTACAATTTCATAGCAATGCTATGAAAGCAGTCCCATTTGAAAGTGAATTCAACAGACAGCCTTGCAAAGGAGGATCACCCTGCCTCCCCTACGTTACACAAAGAAACTAAAACTTCCTTCAAAAGTTACGTCTGTTGCTGGGAGATGACAACCTCCTGTGAAGGATGTATTATAGGTTCTACAGTCAACAACCTCATTACTGTTGAAGAACAGAGGACGCACAAACTCTAGGAAAATGCGTGAACAACAGATCTGACCCTGCGGACAACACAAAGCAGATGTGTGTACCAAGCACTGATTGAAAGAGGATAAGGACACAGACTCAGACAGTGAAGGCGCAGGAGCTCATCAGACTGTTGCTGCTGATGACCAGCAGATAAACAAAAACCCAACATAGAGAGGGCAATGGATTGACCCTGTGGATGGCCGGACAGAAATTCAGCTTGTCAATCCTGAACCTACTGAGAAACAAACAAAATAAGATGGCAACAATGAGGAGAAAATGGAGGAAAACGAAAGCAGTGAAGCTGATAAATTGAAAGCTGAAAACTAAGATGAAGGTATGCTGATGGAACCACCTGAAGAAAAGGGACATGGAGCTCAAGAACAATGAAGAACACAGAGCAATGAAGAAGACTATGCAGAGCTTTATAAACAAAACACCACGCTACCTGATTCTAATGAGCATGATGGAAAATAGCACAGTGAGTGCCACACAGAGAAGGAAGAAATGCAAAACAATGAAGAACCTCAGGAACCTGATAAACAAAGTCATAGTTGTGGAAAAGGTGACACTGTCTAGCTCCAAGAACCACTTTAGGAAGAGATCCAGCTGGGCAGCAGCTCCTTTCCTCATCCAGCTCAGGTCCCATGTGAAGAACACAATACGCATGAGAACCTGCCTGCGTGCAAGCCAGAAAATACAGAAGTCACACAAGTCCCACAGATACCAGCGATGCTCCTACAAGATAAACATGTGAGGTGAGCACAGAGCTGCCTCCCAGGAGAGGATGGGAGAGACCCAGTGGATGAGCCAGGTTGGACAGCGTGGGGCAACACTGTTTTCTGTGAAGCAGGGCTGGACCCTGGGTATCTAGCAGGATGCACAGGGGAGGGGGACAGCAAGGAAAGAGTTAGGGAGCAAATGTAGGTAAAACAACAAGTCGCACTGAGAGAGACATGGAGGGTAGGAAGAAAGACAAGGGTGAATCACTGTGCCAAAAAAAGAAACAAAAAGAATAGTCATTTTTTGAGGGTCTCTGAGCTTCAGTGCTGATTTCTGAACTGACCATTTACAGTTGGGCTATTTCAAGTAAAAGGGACTGAATTCCATAAATGAGTAAACACTGGCTGCACGTCTGGGAGGTTACACTTGTCTAACTCATCCTCTTGATGCTGAAGACCAGCAGCAATGGGTCCCCCTCAGTCTCCTCGGGGGAGTCAGAGGAGGGCAACACTGGATTTTACACACAGCCACAACCTGTGTTAACTAGGCAGGCCTTCTGCTGGCTCTGAAAAAGAGTCCTCATGTGTCTGGAGAGGAGAGTGATGGTCAGCAGCCCAGCAGCAACGGCAACCAAGAAAAATCTTCACATTGCCACAGAAACACACTCCGAAGAAATAGACAGTGATAACCACAACCTAAATCCCCAGAGTTTTAAGGAGTTTGATGCTCCCAGTTCTACAGTTCTATAGTTTTATTGTTCTTCATAAAATAAATGTTCTTGTTTTCGTTGTCTGCTTCCTCCAGAACATCTCCGTGATGTAGCCTGTAAGTAGATATGTTGTATAGAGGACTGAAATGCATTCTCAGCAACTTGCAGGCAGCCTGGTGCTTCCTGAAGAGAAGGCGTGCTGATTCTCTCCTTTCTCCCTTGCTTCCCAGGTTTTCTTCAATCTCATTGACTTTAGCCACTTCAGGGATTCATCCTGCTTTGTCACTAACTCACGTCCCCAGGTTTAGAAGGCAGCAGCACAACCATCAGACCTCACCTGGGTGCTTTGTGGTGATCTCCCAGGGCCTGAGCAAGCAGCCATGCAGATCCAGTCACTCAGGAAGCTGACTCCAGTTGACAGCATTTTGGGTGTGCAGAAAGCAATTCTCATGGTCCTGAGGCACTAGGCTGCTTCAGGCATCTTGGTGACCCCTAAAAACAACAGAGATCTTTATCCACTTCTCCTTAAGATGAAGGGGGAGAAAATCTTGGTGGGATGGGTTATGTAAGGATGAGTCACTTAGAACCACCATAAAGAAAGAGGACAAACACATGCTTGGCCTTAATTTATTACTCAGGATTTGTGTTTACTCTGTGGAAGACAGGGACTCAAAGGCTGCTTTGGCTAAAGATATCACAGTAACCCCTCTCTTGGACTTATACATGTTAAAGTTTTTACTTCTTACTTAAAAATATAAATGGTTCCTCCTCTAATCTTTGTTACTTTCCATAAATAAGGAGATGAACTATAAAAGTATTACACAAACCTGTTGCAAACTAAAAAGCCATGCCCACTAAAATACTCCTGCAATCTGAGTTACTCTGCAGGATAAGGCAGGAGAACACAAAGTTCCAGGCAAGCCTGGGTGATTTAATGACAACCTCTTTCTGTTTAAAATAGAAGAGGGTAGCCAGGGATGTAGCTCAGTGGTTCTGACACCTGCCTTGCAAGCATAAGGTCCTGAGTTCAATCCCTGGTACCAAAATAAATAAATAAATAAAAATTAAAATAAAATAAAAGAGGGGCTGAGGATAGAGCTCATTGTTAGAGGAAGGCCTTTGGCTCAACTGCAGTACCAAAATAAGCAAATAAAGATTTAAGACAATTTAATTGCTGTAGCCTAAAGCTAGACTTAGGATTTGTTTTCTTACCTAATACCAGGTGGGCCAGTGTCAAATTTGTTTGGGCTATGAACACTGGATTGCTTAAATAAGCAGTAATGGTCACGGTTTTGCAAGTTGGAAGTCCACAAGTAGGGTGCCGAAAACTTTCAGGCTCAGTTTACACAGGACCTAAAATACCTTTCCATAGATATAGATATAGATATAGATATATGTGGATGTATAGATGTAGATAGATAAATATGTATTGCTGAGGTTCGAAGGCATGCTAAGCAAATGCTTTATCCCTGAGCTATATCCTGTCCTTTATCTCTGCAAATCAGAGTTTTGACTTCTGTGTAAAAAAAGTACAAGCTGCTTTCAGGTTTAATATTTTACTTTTTTAAAACTATGAAACTGCCACAAACTTTGACTATTGAAGCTAAAAAAACAGCATTGCTTTTATCATTTTATTTGGAGTGCTACATTTATTTAAGACAAAACTGGCCTCAGAATTCAAGTTTTCTTTGCTGTCCTATAGCTTTCTGTGATTACACAGAACACAGTTGCTGAGTGGCTCTCTGGCTGATCGTCGGAGTGTGAGGGCTAAACATTAGAGAAGTTGGTCCTGATCTTTGTGGGCCGATCACTTCAGAGGCTGAGAGAGAACTTTTCTCAGGCCAGTCATGGTCTGTTTTTGTAGTCAGTCTCTCAAATACTTTTTAAATTTGTTAAATTTGCATGAGAATGTGTGACATACACAATGATCATGCTATTGTGGGGAGGTGACACACGTACACAACTTATGTTAACTCTTTTTATTTCCCAGTCCACCCTTCTCCCTCTATCTCTTGGACTCCTTGCCATTTGCAGAAGATATGTCTCCTTGTTTCCTAGTCTACTCCTCATAGTAATCGTGGAAAAAGATAAAGACTCTGTTTGACAAAAGCTCCTTTTCTATCACAGACGATGTTGAAGACATATTTTGGAGAAGAGATGGTACATTCAAGAGTCAGTCTATCTGAGGTAATTTCTGCTTCAGGGTATTGGAATCCACACATATTGAACACCAATATTTGCTCATCTATTATCTCACTTGTGGGAGAGGAGGCAACACACTTTAAACTTTGGGTTTTCAATTCTGACTGAATAAAGTAAATCTGGTAGCTGTCCCAGTAGGAAACTCGTATAACCTGCTACCAGTGAAATGACATTTGTGCCAGATACTCTAAATGGAGAAAGGGATGACAAAGAGACAGCAAAAGCACTGCAGTGACCCAGACCCTCGCACCACAGGAAGTGAGGTTGTGGAGATACAGCCAGTGATATGGCACAGTGGCGCCTTCACACTGTGAATGAGCTAACACACTTCCCAGTGAGCATATCCTACTGAGACCATGGCACACACAAACACTAGGCAGCTGGGATAGGACCTGAGTTAACCAAAATAAACCTGGGAAACTGAGAACACAATAGGAAAGAGATTTTTGCCCCAGGAAGCTAGAGTGCAGGGAAGCAAAAGAGCAGGTCATGTCTGTTCCACTAGTCAGAGACCTAGCTAAAAGCAGCAAGCATACTGTTTCATTTTCACACAACAAATAGCTCCCGAAAGCCTGCATATGCATCCCTAAATGTGGGTGCCCCCCACTGGCCATCCTTAACAGTCCCTCCCACTAAAGAAAACTTTTCTTTGTTCTTTCCACTGAACTACACTCAGGTCATTTCTCACTCTCGGATCCCTGACATCATTCATCATCATCCTCCGGCCCACAGGGAGCAGAGAATTGGATACACTATCTCTGCCTAAGAGTAATCTCGCTTCCCTAAAGATGTGCTCACTTACCTATCAACAGACTTGCTACTGAAAACTACATCTCATCCCTTTCACCAGGTGAAATTAAATTTGTCCTGTTAAAAAAGACAAACATATTAGAAATGAGCATACCTGCTGTCCTAAACTTTAGTGTTTTTATGTTACCTGCTTGACTTTCCTTCATTAAAGGGGAGGTGAAAATACCCACACCTATGTTGCATTTCAGAAGGTATCCAAAAAATCCACAGCCGATCTCAACAATATCCTGTACTTGATCTTCCTTGACATGACCCACATGTCAGACATGAACCTTGGTCAGAATGGCTGGTACTCAATATAATCAGTCTGTTCAATTCGTTCAGTCATGCACACTTTTAGGTGTGCCACACTACAGAAATGACTAAGTGATTTTTCTACTCTTTAGTCCTTAGGTTTGTGAACAGAAACAACATTCTCATGGACCATTCCAAATATAAACTATCCCAAATTTCTAGGAGACATAAATCCAAGTTCAGTCACAAATTGGGAGAACAAGCCCACCCATACTACTTGGAGCCTAAATTCACATTGCAGAAATGGAAACTCTAACAGGTACAGATTGCTGCACATTTAACTTAAACCTATACCTTCATCCCTAAAACTGCCCAAGGAGCAGCTAAACGTGGGGATTTAGCTCAGTGGTTCCACTACGGCCTCGAAAGCTTGAGGTCCGGAGTACAATCCCTGGTACCAAAAAAAAAAAAAATAGAAAAAAAAAAAAAAAAAAAAAAAAGGCCGGGGGGAGGGTCTAAACTTGAAACTCCTAGAAGCTTTTAAAGCTAAACTCCAGTTATTTGGTATGTTTGTATCTTCAAACAGGAAATAAATACAGTGAAGTAAAAGAAATCCCTTGGGTTTTGGAAATATTACCATCTAATATCAAGCTAGTATTTATAAAAATTATACTTAACATGATGAAATAATATTAAAAGTTGTTTTTTCTTTACTTTTGTAGGGTGGGTTAATTCAATTTACTTTGTTTAAATCATCGGCTCAAGTTAATAAAGAATCAATCTGTGTAATAAATGCAACAAAAGCAGTAGTTTCACTTAGGAAGAAGGTTCTGACCTCACTGCTACAAAATCTGAGAAACAAGTTAAAAACCACTCACTAGTGAGGAAATTGGATAAGTCTAAAGCAGTTTTTGGACAGTATCTGATTGGGGTAGTTCATGATTAAATTGTGAATTTAATCAATTCAACAGAACTTCTGACCAGAAGATACTTTCTTCTCTTTATTTCCAGTATTCAGTATCAAAATGTAACACTAACTTTAATAGCTTGAAATCCCTTCCTTAACCTGATTTGCTGACTATGCTTTATAACAAAATAGGGCAAACATTGCAGCCCTCTGAAAATTTTCATAATTTGCTGCTCAACTTTGAGTTTTTCTCCCTAGGCAAGCCTCTGAAAATGAAAAAGACAGGCCATAATTCTTGCCCATGTTTTCAACTTGAAGGGATATTGCTTTAGGAAAGACTCAAGACACAAGCCAGGTGTGAAGGCACACACTTTTAGTTTCAGCACTCTAGGAAAACAGCCAGGAGGATCCATGTTCAAGCCAGCCTGGAAAAATTCAGTGAGAACCTGTCACAAAATTTTTAAAAATTTAAAAGGGTCGAGGGTGTAGCTCTGTGCAAAGGGCCTGACTTCAGACCCCAGCATCGCAAAAAGTAAATATCAAGACACAGACCCAAAGGTGAATGGGTATGCATTTATTACCTCATCTGCTCACCTTCTGCAAAGGTAATTCAAACCAGACCAGAGACCTGTAATATCTCTGAAAACACAGAATATTGAATGGGACCTGATTCTAGTCAACAGTTGGAAAACTGGGCTGCTTGAGATATAAATACCTTTTAAAAAGAGAGGTGACAGACTCTAAATGTCAATGTTTGTTTTAATTTCTACTTTCATTAGTGCATATTCGCAGTGCATCATGAAGTGTTTGTACACGTACATAACACAACTTCAAAACATTAACTGTAATGCGGCAAAGTATCAACATAATTAACTAGAAAATACAAATACTTCACAGAGAGTAAAAACAATTTTTATAAGTCAGCTACTCATAACAGGAAAAATGACCTTGTCCTAATTTATCTTATACTGCTATCATGAGGGGGGAAAGACTCCATAAGCAGTTAACTATTCCTCCATTAAATTCCTCCCAAATGCTTTCTACCACAATCTTGAGATCAGGCATTATTGATTATAATTGTGTGTGTTGTGTCTAAGTTGTGAAATTTTTAAGACTACCAGGAAACTCTTTTGATGTAAATATATGAGGAGTTTATTGTAAGCTCAAGTCTGGACTTCCAGTGTCACCGACACAGCGGCTTTAAATTGGAAGTTCTGACCCACGAAATTAGCCTATTTTTATAGGGTTTGGGTGGCTTGAAATTTTATTTTATTGGTTTTTTAATAATTTTTGTTGATTTTATTGGCCTATACATTTATTATTGGATATTATAAGATGTAATGTTTTAAACTTAGTGGCTATTATTTGGGCGTGGGTAGGGGTTTGTGTGGGAGATTTATTTTAGTCATCTAACTGTCACAGCGGGTTTTGCCATATTTTGACCTGGCTGTAGTTTTTGGAATAAACCGCCCAGTTGTGATTTCTGGAAACTGTTCAGTTGTAATTTCTGAAAAACCTGGTTTTTGGTTAATCTATTTTTCGACAATGGAAGGCTATCTGTAGAGTTTAAAGGTCAGTCCAAATAATGGAGTATCTAATCTGGCTTAGCTAAAACGGAGGAACTTTGGCTTCTTTTTGGTTTTTCAGTGTGACCTGGGTTTCAGGTCAACATTTCTCTAGCTGACTCTTCAAGTACCTATAGGATTGAAGATGGTGTACACCAAAAGGGAGTGAACCAAATCCTGACCCTACTTTTCTCAATGACTTCTCTTTCAAATATTGTCCCTTAAAAGCACCATGTTTTACTACACCACAACTGCCCTCATAAACATGGATATGCGCCGTGCAGGGCACGATGACACATACCTGTAACCCTCTGGGAGGCTGAAGCAGGAGAATCTGAAGTTCAAGACCAGCATGGGCCACATAACAGCTGTTAAGATTTCCCTTGCCTTAAGATGGCTGCCACATGAAATTGCAGCCTCCATGTTCAAATATGGCTTCTCCCAAAAAAGGACAGGCTTCTTCTTCCCATCATGCCTCTTCTCCTGCCCAAAGAGTAACCTGATACTTGCTATCTCCTAACAGCTAGTGATGTCACAGGCTCCTCCAAACCCTTAATACTGCCTCACTCAACTCCACCCCAGCTCAGGCTAACCCCACCCCATTCCTACAAAAGAAGCTTCCTGTGTTGCCATGTTGCTTTCTCTCCTTTGTATGGAGTCAACCTGGCAGATCCTCCCCATAATAACGGCTTGTTATGGTCCTAGTCTGGTCCTGGTTTTCTGATCTTTTTACCTAACAGTTGCAAGTTAAGAAAAACTTGTGCCAAATACAAAAGGAAGAAGGGAGAGGCTGAGCTCAATGAAAAGGCTCTGGGTCCAGTCCCTGGTGCCTCAAAAAAGAAAAACAAGAAAAAAAGAAAATGTAAAACAACAAGCAGAAATAATTGTTTAAATTATTCACCTAAGATGACTGTTATTATTTCAACTGTGAATCAAATTTACACTTCTGGTATAGTCAAGTGCCTAAGATGGTACTAGTTTCTTGGAGAGAAAGTGTATGTGTGATTTGGCAAATCAAGACAACGTCCTAAAAAAATAATAATAATAATTATAACATCTAAAGATTCCACTTCTTTGGAGCATGGATTTTGCAGCTTCCACTCTTGGTATTAAGCTGTGGGTTGAGGTTCAGTCAGCTAAGGCTACGGGGGAGATCTCATTAGCTCACAGAAACTCCACACTTTTCCTACTGAAAAAACCACACTAGAAAATAGTCTATTTTACATACTTCTCATAGCACATCAATAGAAAGGCTTCTGAACCAGTACTGCAGAGCCATTAGCAATTTCTGTGCCTTTGTTTAAAATACAGGAGTGCCAGGGATTTAGCTTAGTGGTTCCAGCACCTGCCTCACAAGCACAAGGTCCTGAGTTCGATCCATAAAATACAGGAGTGAGGCCATGTACGTACGTACGTACACACACACAATGTTTCCTTTCTGCAGTACAGCACTTTTTTTTTCTTTTCTTTTTTTGGGTACCAGGGATCGAACTCAAGACCTTGTGCTTGTGAGGTAGGCACGGTGCCACAGAGCTAAATCCCCAGATTTCCGTTTTTTATTTATTTATTTATTTTTTGTCCCGGGGATGGAAGTGAGGTCCTTGCACTTGCGAGGCAGTCACCAGAACCACTGAGCTAAATACCCCGCCCCCAAATTTCCGTTTTTAAAAGCCTGCTCTTCATTTACCCTTCACTATTTAATCTTTTCACAAAGAACTATACAAAAAAACCCCACGTGTTTCTATAAACAACAGCAAATAAAACATAACATAACACTGTTACCCAGCCCTGTATCCCAGGTGTCATCTGGATGAAAAGATAGGGAACCATCTATAAATTCCATTATCATACTTCCTGACTTGGGTTTCTACACTTACTGTGGCTTTTCTTTCCCCATCTCCTGGAAATGTTCTTTCCAGAGCAGAGCTAACGGGGGGGACAAGGCAAAGCGGACCGGACCGGACCTATAACTGGCTCAGCCGCCGTCCCCAACGCTCCGGACCTATAACTGGCTCAGCCGCCGTCCCCAGCGCTCCTCGCCTGGCGGTTGAAAGGCCACAGAGTTTTCGTAAGGGGGGCGGACCCAGCGGCCAAACCGACGCGCTGATTGGCCTGGCGCAGAGTCATGGGGGGGGTGTCCATTGACTGCGTACCTCATCCGGTAGCGGGGGGGGGGGCTAAGGTGCTAAGGACTTGGCTGCCAGTGGCTGTGCTTTCTTGCTGCCTATCTTGATGTTTCCACGGAAAGGAGACCATGGGAAAGGGAGGAACCTGGAGGATGGAACTTTAAACTCTCCTTGGGGTATTTCCACCATCCAAAAATGAACCAACCACATAAAGCTGCTTTTCCTGGCGAAACACTTTCTTCTGTCCAAGGGCCAGTAGGGGGCTCGATGGTTCCGGCTGCAGAATATGACTGAGTTTAATTTTACGTATTCAAGGGAGGAAAATAAGCAGTTAACAATTCGGTCTTTCTCTGGGTAATAACCCCACATTTTTTCTTTTATATACTTCCTAGCTCTTTTTTCTTTTTCTCTTTCTTTTAAAGGACTAGTTTAGTAATCACTAGATCAGATACCTGGCCAGGCACCGTGTTGCAAGCCTTTCCAAGTTATAGTAAGTACCATCCCTTTCCAAATACTTGGCCCACAAGATTATGGGCCAAGTAAATGCTTGGGTATGTAACTAAGTTTGGGAGTGGTTTTTAATCCAGTAATAAGTAAACTAGACCAACCTTTCTCCCATACACACAACCCAGATAAGAACGACTGAGGAGCCTACCTGACTTCATGGATTAAACTACTAACCATCACTGAAGCATCAGAAACCTTAATCTCTCTTCTCTCCTGAGCTCTGGACCAGGCATTTATGAAGATTCTCTCCTCTCTCCTCTAACTTTAAACACAATGGCAGGGGAAATGAACTAGAAGTAAGTTGAGCGACTAGAATTTAACTTTTTAGTGGATAATATTTCTCTTTTCCTCCCCTTCATTCCCTTCTATTTCTCTAATACAACGTGCCTTCTACTTTCTTGGGATTTTATTTCTGCCTCAGACTCCCGAATGTTGGGGTTACAGATATGCACCACTACCCAAAGCTCCCAGTATCCTTTTCGTCTTCTTTCTACCTATTTTGTCACTGCCCTAGTTAGATTTACCATCCTTCAGAAGCATTCTGGCCATGTCCTCCTGAGGGGTCTCTACTTTTCATCTCTTTAAGCCATCTTCTACAGAAGGCCAGGCTGAGGGTGCCAGGCAGGCAGAGTGCTGACACTGGGCTGCTGGAGGCCAGGCTCAGCCATGATCCCACTGAGCCAGGCAGATAGTGGCAGGCAGTCCAGTTCAGGTAGCCAGGGGTTACTGGACATATGACCCAGGCCTTTGGCTGGGCTTCTGCTGCCTTCAGTTCACCATATGGTCCACATTGGCCTCTAACTCATAGCAATCCTCCTGCCTTGGGCTCTTGACTACTGAAATAACAGGCATGTACCACCATGCCTGGCAGGTCTCCTTTTTAGAATATTTCTCAATTCTAATCTGACAGGGATGCCAAATCTAGATGTGAAACTCTTGTGCAGGACACCAAAAAAATGTTAAAAAGAAAGAAGAATTTATTATTCCAGAGCAGAAGTACCTATATGGATGAAAAATTCACAGCAGGCATCATGGACTCATAGAAACAACGTTGTGTGTGTGTGTGTGTGTGTGTGTGTGTGTGTGTGTGTGTGTGTGTGTGATATGCATGCCACAGACATGAAGGACCAGTCATGAAAACTGCTCTTATGTCTGGGAAGAAACAGTTACAAATGCTAAAGTGCTAGAAGATCCAGAGTTAGCTTGAAGAACTTGTCATAGGCAAGAATATTTGCATGGAATTCCAGTTGCACAAGAGATAACAACAAGAATCAACAAGTGGAATTACATCAAATTAAACAGCCTCTGCACAGGAAAAAAAACTACTAACAAAGTGAGAAGACAGCCTACAGAATGCGAATACAATTTTAGGAACTATACCTCAGACAGAGGACTAATATGTGATGAAAACAGCATGGTATTGGCAAACAACAATAAAAATAACAGACTTGTGAATCAAATGAACACAATAGAGGATTCAGAAAAAATTGCAGGCACACAAAGCTACCTTATCTTTGAAAAAGATACCCTCTTTAATAATTGGTGCTTTCCACATGCCAAAGATTGAACCTGGACCCCTATTACTGACTATGCACTAAACTAACACAAAAATGGATCAAAGACTTAAAATTAAAACAAACAATATCCTAGAAGAAAGAATAGGAAAAACTCAAAGACATAGGTACAGGCAAAGACTTTCTGAACAAAACCCCAGTTGCACAAGACATGACACCAAAAATCAGCAAATGGGATCGCATCTTATTAAAAAGCTTTTTCACAGCAAAGAAAACCACCAACAGAGTAAAGAGACAACCTACAGCATGGAAAAATTTTTGCCAGGTACTCCTCAGACAGAGGACTAATATCTAGAACACATAAGTAACTAAAAAAAAAAAAACAGTTAGACCCCCCAAATTTAAAAAAAAGTTCAGAAATAGGCATCTGAAATGAATAGACGCTTCTCAAATTAAGTACCAATGGCCAATAAATACATGAAAAAAGTGCATTATCACTGGCCATAAGAGAAATGCAAATTAAAACAACACTGTGATACCATCTTGCACCAGAAAGAATGGCCATCATTTTAAAAAGTCAAATAATAACAAATGTTAGGAAGGCTGTGTGGTAGAAATTATCTTCTCCATTGTTGGTGAAAGTGTAAATTAATACAACCACTATGGAAATCAGTATGGAAATTCATAAAAAAGTTAAAACTTAGCAACAGCCCATATGCCCATCAACAGATAAATGGATAAAGTGTGGTACTGGCACAACCAACAGCCACAGGCCTTCCCTGATGCCATGGGTAAATGAGTACAGTACCTAGTAAGAAGCCCACACAGACACCAGCAATTGAGGTGCACAGCCCCCAGCCAAAGGCCATCCCAGACAATAGCTACATAGGAGGGCAGGCTGTAGCCAGAGGCATGCATGCCTAGATACCATCCCAGGTGTGTACAGGCCCCAGCCAGAACCCTGTCTGGACAACAGGACAGCACAGGGATCCAGAAGGCCACCACTATGAATCCAGTAAATGGTGCCATGGTGAGCAGCAGAGAAAAGGCTTCTCAGTGGCTTGCTGAAAATTGAAGACTGCTGGGTGAGCAAAAAGTTGCCTCAACTTTTTGAGGCATAGCAGGCTGCACCTGTTGAAATGAGAGGACACATAAATGAGTTTCAAAATCAGACTTCCAGATCACCTAAGGCAACCCCAAAGGGCAACATGGTGTAACAATCTGATACCCAATCACATGGACTCCCTGAACTGGCAATGAAAGAGGATCTAAAAAAATGAAATCTGAAATAATTTCTCAGATAACAACAGATTATGTTCATAGTATAAGACATGGTTAATAAATCAAGAGCAGACATGGATTTAAATAAATAAAGGAACTGAGAAATATGATAGAATCCCAACACAGGAAACAGATGGAATCCATAAAACAGATGCAAACAGATTTCCAGATTTAAAATTCTATTAAAAGTTTACATAGCAGAATAAGGCAATGTGAGAACCGAATTTCAGATATAAAGGACTGCAATCAGTGAGTAAGAAAAGAAAAATTTCTTAAAAATACTAAGGGAGAATGAGAAATTAGCCCAGGAGCTGCTAGATGATGCAAAGAACAATAACATAAGACTGATCTGAGAAAACGAACAAACAGGAGAGAGTGCAGATGACATTAAAAAAAACTGTTCACAGAAGTAATGGCAGAAAACTTCCCAAGTATGGGAAAAGAACTTGACATACAGATAAGTGAGGGACAGAGGACTCCAACTACCAAGATAAAAAAAAAAAATCTACACATAGGTGTATAGTAGTTAAGATTCCAGAAGCCCAACAGAGCAACAAAATCCTACAAGCTGTTAGAGAAAAGAAACAAACCATCAGAACCACAGCAGACTTCTCAAAGCAAACCCTCAAGGCAAGCAGAGCCTGAAGTGACATATTTCAAACCATAAACAAAAACAACCTCCAACCCAGACTGATGTATCCTGAAAAACTATTTTCAAAATTGATGGAGAGGGTGGAGATTTAGCTCAGTGGTGCTACTGACTGCCTCGCAAGCATGAGGTCCTGAGTTTGATCCCTGGTACCTAAATAAATAAATAAATGGAAAAATAAGATACTTATTATTGAAAAAGAGCACCTGAGGAACTTTCTGAATACCAAAGCAACACTCCAAAAGTTTTAAACAATATTCTAGGAAAAAACAATGAGGATCACAACTCAAAAAAGCCCAGAAGAATGAATCTATCAGGAACAAAAAGACATTAAATGTAAAGGGAAAGAGTCCAACAACAGGAAAAGGTCATGACAAGGATAAGTCAATACATATCACTGATGTTAATGACATTAATCCACCAATCAAAAGAAGTGGACTGGCAGAATGGGTCAAGAAGCAAGATCCAACAATATGCTGCATATAAGCACACTTAATTTAAAAAACATAAAACACGTTAAAGGGTAGAAAACAATACTCCATGCGGTAGGAACCCAAAAAAAGGAATACCTATCCTATTTGCAAACCAAATGGATTTCAAATCAACACTGATTGAGAGAGACAAAGAAGGACACTATATCTTTGTAAAGGGAACAATCCAAGAGGAAGAGATGATAATCATAAATATATGTGCACCAAATACTAGTGAACTGAACTATATAAAACAAATACTAATGGACATGAAAAATAAAATAAGCACTAATACAATAGTAGTTGTGGACCTCAGTATGCCACTGTCACAATAGATAGATCAACTAGACAGAAAATAAACAACAAAATACTAGAACTCAAACTCTTGAAGAAATGAACTTAACAGATATCTACAGAGTGTTCCACTCCACAAATTCAGAATACACATTCTTTTCAGCTGCACATGGATTGTTCTCCAAAATAGACCACATACTTGCTCATAGAACATGTTTAAGTAAGTGCAAAGGCAAAGGAACTGGAGTTATCCCCTGTATATTATCAGGGCATAGTGCTGTGAAACTGGAGATCAATAGCAAGAGAAACTGCAAGAATTTCATAAACACATTGAAATTGAACACACTTCTGAATAACCAATGGGTCACAGAAGAAATGAAAGGAGAAATCAGACAGCTTCTGCAATTAAATGACAATGCCAATACACCATATCGGAATCTATGGGACACAAAATAGTCTCTGTGAGAAACTCATAGCAGTGAATATTCATATTACAAAAACAGAGTGAGCTCAAATAAACAACCTGATGCTGAACCTCAAGCTTCTAGAAAAAGAAGAGCAGGACAAACCCAAAGCTCATACAAGGGAGGAAACTGTAAAGATCAGAGCAGAAATCAATGCAATAGAGACTAAGAGAATGACACAAAAATATCAGTGAAGCAAAGATTTGATTCTTTGAGAGCATAAACAAAATAGACAACCCCTTAGGGAAACATCAAAAAAAGGAAAGAAAAGACCCAAATCCATGAAATTAGGAATGAAAAGGGTGAAATTAGAAGACACCCAGCAGAAATCCAGAGGATTATCAATACCTACTTTGAGAACCTATATGCCAATAAGATGGAAAACACAGAAGAAACAGATTCCTAGACAAGTATGAATTATCAAAGTTGAATGAAG